CCATGGCAGGGAGCCTGTCTGTTCACACTGGGAGCGACGACGTCCTGTGTGATCAATGAACCATGTTTCAGGATGCGCGTGGCTGTGACACGGGAGGGGTTGGAGGGGGAGCGTGAGTTCAGAAATGATGGGGGAGGGGAGTCAAGTTGGAGGAGGAGGCGAAGCAGTTGGAACAGGACACTTGTTCAGTCGCGTTTGACTCTTTGCAGCCCCGTGGACTGCAGCACACCAGGCTTCCCTGCCCATCACCAACTCCCGGAGCTTGCTCAAACTCATGTCCGTTGAGCCGGTGCTGCCATCCAACCATCTCGTCCTCTGTCGCCCCCTTCTCCTCCTGCCCTCGGTCTTTCCCGCATCAGGGTCTCTCAGGAACAGGACATGGCTGAGCAGTAAGAAACAGACTTAAATCCCCCTGCGAGCTCCAGGATAAAACTCAGCTCCTTTTCCTACCCTTCTGTTGCTGCCCAAAGGCTCATTTCTATTTCTAGCCAACAATTCCTACACTTTTAATTAAAAAAAAAAAAAAAGAATTAAAAAAACCCAACAACCCAGCACCGTCCGTCATTCGAAGCAGAGGAGGGGCGTTGCCCTCACCCTCTCCTCCCTAAACCTGCAGAACTCTAGTAGACCACTTTCCCGTGAGACCCTCAGTCTCAGAAATAGCGCAAAGCTCAGGTGACGTCTGTTGACTGTGGGAACTCGTAGCATTTGGGGGAGCAGAGGAGCTGGAGGGACGGGTTGGTCTTTGACTTTTCAGCGGCATGGTGCTCCTGCTAAGTCACTTCAGTCGTGTCTGACTCTGCGACCCCATGGACTGTAGCCCGCCAGGCTCCTCCGTCCATGGGATTCTCCAGGCAAGAACACTGGAGTGGGTTGCCATGCCCTCCTCCAGGGGATCTTCCCGACCCAGGGATTGAACCCAAGATCTTAGATCTCAAGGCAGCGTCTCCTGTGTCGGCAGGCAGGTCCTTTACTACTGGTACCAGCTGGGAAGCCCATTGGAGGTCTAATTTCTCGAATTTCTGAGCCCCGCTGTCAACTCCGTGGTGCTGCTGTGACGGAGGCGGGCGAGGATGTGGGACCTGGACTGGTGACTGTGTTCTCTCACTGAACTTGGAGCGCCTCGTGGGCCCGGGGAGGGGGTGGCAGGGTGTCCCCAGGAGGGCCGCTTCCCCTGGTTGCCCCCGATCCCAGGGCTGCCTCCTATTCTCCTTATTGAGCACTGGTGGTTTGCCTGTTGTTTCGTTTCCAAGAAATGTAGCAGAGTATCCTTCCAGTAAACTCCCCACTGTGCCTCAGCTAGCAAGCCTTGTTGGATGTTGCTGTGACCAAAAAAAAACTTGTTAACAAATGCAGACACTGGAGTTGTTTTACAGGGTCGCACGATTATTTGTGCTCTTTCCGCGGCTGTCTCTATGCTTCCATTCTTGCTCACATCTCACATGGCCCATGTCTCTAGAAGTGGAGTTTCTGGGTTGGATGGCGCCCATTTCTGCTTCCGTGCATCCTGCCAGCTCATCTCTACTAGCTTTGCTGACTGACATTCCCACGGGCAGCTGTCTGCATATGTCTGTCACCCACGACATCTCAGAGGTGACCGTTAACTTAATTTTTCCAGGTTTCACGGGAGAATCATTGTTCTAACTTTACTTTTTTTTTTCTTCCTTTCTTTCTGCTGCTAGAAAACTTGACTAATCTTTTCATATTTTTATTGGCCATTTGGATTTCTTTTGTGATTTTTTTTTTAAGTAACATATTCATCTTTCTATTGACGATGTTACAACTTCATATTAGGGACCCTCCATCAAATGAGCTAGGAAAATAACTGTTTTCCTAAGTTAAATTTGCTTTTTATCTTTACTTAAGTTTTTGAAATACAGATATTTTAAAATTGAGAAGTGGTCAAGTCATTGAATCTTTTTTTTTGTTTTAATGGAAAAGCCTTCTAAAGTGTTTTAGAAGGGACCAGAATGCTTCGGCAAGCGCCTGGGCTGAGTGTTGCTGGTGGGGATAATTGCATGTGCCTGCTACCTGTTAGTGGTGGGACTAAGAGGCACGTATCATGGTACATTTCCTTATTTGTTTCCTTGCCCAGCACTTTCTGGGCGCCTGCTTTGCTGGTGGGACTGGGGGGCTGTGGGAGTGTGTGGAGCAGTCTGCTCAGGGCCTGAGGACATTTCAGGGGTGGCAGCGTGGTACCGCCCCACCCCAGAGGAAACAGGATCCTGGCCAGGGTTCCGGACTGTCTGCCTGTCCACCCACCACTCAAGGACCCTGAGTGTTGAGCAGTGCGAGTGGGCAGCGGGCTTTCGGATTTGTTCTATTTTTTTAAATTTTTATTTCTCATTCGGCATTTGTTCCTAATGGTCTCTCATTGGTACCATAAGCACACTCTGAAGTCAGACATTTAAATTCTGTTTTTATTTAACCATTTTACCAGATGTTTCCTGTGGTTTGACAGAGGTACCATTTACTCGAAAGTTCACACTCCTGAGATCTGTAATGTTATGGACACTGTTGCTATAGACTGATTCTGTCGGGGCCAGATTTGGAACACGCTTTCGCATCATTTTCAGGTCGAAGATGTGTTTTTCCCCAGAACACAAATGCCGTCTTCATCATCATCACATCATCTGTTACAGTTGTGGTCTCCGGTTTATAGAAGGACATAACGGGCTGATCACCATTTATTCCCATAAACACCGCAGTGCCGCCGTGGGCTGTACTTTCTGCAAGCTGGACCCAGGCATGCCTTGGTTTTGTCTGTAAAACTCACCTGGGGCAGAAAGGACTCAGGTGGGGGGTGGGTGAAGGTCTGGCCTGGCCTGGCCAGGGGTCTGTCATCCTGACGACCAAGCTCTTTTCCCGCGATCGGGGTGGGAAAGATGCGGGTCACCTTCTGGCAGAACACCCTCCGTGCAGAAAGCGCCCCGGAGCCCCGGCCCCGCAGCTGCCCCCCGCCCCCACCCCCGACACACAGCGCGCCGCCTCCCCCGGCGGGGACTTTTATTCTGACGGGCCTCCCGCCCAGCCCGTCCTGCGCGGGGACCGCCTGCCAAGTTTGGGAGGCCCACGGCTTTCTTGTGGGAGGACGCTGGGCTGTCTTCATGCTCTTTGGCAATGATTAAAGTGAGGTTAGTACCCAAAAAGCCCTTTCATTTTATTCCCTTATCCTTGCTTTTGCAAACCAGATGGCAACCCTGTATTTTCAGCTGTAATTAATTTAAACTCCGAAGGCAGCGAGGCCGGGCGAGGCGGCCCTGTCTCTGCCCCCTCCTCCTGCTCATCCCTCCGGCCTCGCCTGACGGCCCCTCGTCCCAGAGTCACATCCCCACCGAGGGCCGGGGCTCTTAAAGGGGCCGCGGCCCCGCCAACAACAGCACGCGCGCACACGCGAGCCGAAGGGTGAAGGCACATGGGGAGTCGTTGCAGGAGCTGCCTTCCTGCCGTGGAAGCAGGCAGGTTTCAGGTGACGGCTGACGTGTTTCAGGCCAGCTGTCACGTGACGGCTGCAGCCCGCAGCTCTGGGGAAGACAGGGTGCTTGTCCTTCCCAGTCAAGTTCGGCTGCTAGGATCGCCTCCAAAAGGAGGGGGGGTGGTTATGTTTTCAGTTTAGCATGTATTCTTAAAGAAAATTACAAGGCATATAAAAGCACTTGGCCACAACTGAAGTCTGGAGGCTCTGACCTCAGCTATGTGACCACTTCCCTCCGCGGGGAGGGAGAGGAGGCCCTCCTCTGTGAGTAGATAGAAGGCCCGGGGATCCACTGGAGAGGAGGCCCCTCCAGAGGCCTCAGGATGCGGGGCTCTCATCCCTTAACTCCTCGAGCAGCCCCCTCCCCCTGGCCCCGGTTCTATGGAGATGAGGAGGTCCCAGGCAGGGAGCCCGCCTCCAGGGGCTCTCACCTGTGCGGCAGGGCCCTCGGGGTTGGGTGGGTTTCCGTCTGGTCTTTTGACGATCACGTTTGCGGGGCAGAGGGTTGAGGCTTCGGGGCAGAGGGTTGAGGCTGTGGATCGAGGCAGATCTGTTAACGTTCGTGTGTGCAGGGCACTCTGTCAACTGCTCACTAATGTTACATGAATGGTCGTTATTACTAACACTCGCCATCCTTGGATGACTTGAAGTCATTTTTTAAAAGGCCCATAGTGAAAGATGAGAACCACAAATAGGTTATTTTGTGAGTCTCCACTCACTCATCCAACTGCAGTCCCTGTATGTGTGTCCCTGGGGCTGTGGGCTTCAGTGAGCTGGTGATGGATGGTCTCTATTTAGTTCTTATGTCAAATGCTTACATTATTTGCCAGCATTTGTCTTGTGAACTACTTGGACTGTGTTTACAGAGACATGTGTTTGTGTTGTTGTGGGCCAGACCTATGGTTCTGGAAACCCATGATTTTTGTTTCATAGTGAGGGACTCTTACTACCAATAATTAGTCAAAACGTCTAAGGACCGAGAGTTAAACCCAGAGTGCCATGTGATCCAGCAAGTCCTTGAGCGAGTATAGATGCAAAAGAAGTGACGGCAGGAACCTCAAACCGGTATGTGTACGCCTGTGTTCACGGCCGCCAGAGCAGCCCAGCGTCCGTCGAGGAATGAGTGGGTCCGTGCAGTGGAATGTTACTCAGCCTTAATAAAGACCCAGTTCTGGCACCTGCTGCCCCATGCATGTACCCTGAAGACCTTATTCAAAGTGAAACGTGCCGGTCACAAAACACAGATAGTGTGTGATGTTCTTCAGTGGGGGCTCCTGTTTACTGAAGCGAAGAGAAGGGTGATTGCCAGGTGGTTGAGGAGAGAGGACTGCGTTCATATTTAAGAGGTACAGAGTCTCACTTCAGAAAGATGGAGAATTTCTGGATGTGGGTGACAGGGATGGTTATACAGCAGTGCGAGTGAGGACTTGCCCGGTGGTCCAGTGGCTAAGACTCCCTGCTCCCCATGTAGGGTCTCTGGGTTCAACCCCTGCTCAGGGAATTAGATCCCACACGCCGCAGCCGAGGACTCGCATGCCCCAACTAAAAGAAGACTGTGTGCTGCAGTGAAGATTGCAGACCCCCAAGTGCCACAATTAAGATGAGGTGCCAAAAAGTGCACATATATTTAATGCCACCGAACTGTATCTTTTTAAATGACTAAAATAGTGAATCTTATGTGTTTTTTGCCACAGTTAAAAAAAAAAGATTAAAAGAAAACCTTCCAAAGACTAATGATTAACTTTGGTTCGAGTGGATAAACAGTAATGAATTTATTATGTGTTCAGCCGTTGTATTCCGTGCTCAGCTGGGTTGAAGAGTGTAAAGAACTCGGAGGACAGATGGTCAACTCTCAGGCTAGGACGTTTGGAGCCTCGTGGTAGGGACTGGTCATCATGTGAGGACCTGAGGGGGGGGTATGGATTTTGTTTTTAATTTAAAGGGTGATTGGGAGTCACCATTCCCATTCGGTGTGGGAGGGCCTCGTGAAAAGGAAAGGGGTGTGTCACTCGGGGTATTGGGCGCTGGCTGTCCTGGGTTCTCTGAAGACACCTTTAGCATCATTAACTCAAGAGTTGGGGCGGGGGCGTGATGCCATTTCAGTGATGGACAGTGATGGTTCTCCTGGGTGCCAGGTTTGGGATTAAATATTTGATTTTTAACAGCCCGATGCTGCTGATGTTAGACTAAAACTAAGCAGACACTATAGGGGAAGTCAGTCCTGAATTCTCTAAAGAGTTTGAAAATGAGAATATTTGTCAAGAAGTACAGTTTAATAAGTTGGGAAGTGAAGTAAGCCATCCACATCGGTTTTCTGCAAATCCCTTGGGGACTTGCATAGAGAATGGAGATTGGTGATTGGTAATTTGCCTATCAGTTGTCCATTTATTAGTAGCCTTTCTTAGTGTCCAGGAATCCTTGAAATAATCTTGAAGAAATTCAAATCATGTTCTTATCCTGTAATTGAAATAAAGGAAAAAAAAATAGTTATCCTTTTCCTCTGGTTTTCAGAAAGATAAGAGTTCAGCTGAGACCACGTGGCTGCTCAGAGGGAATTAATTCAGGAAATGCTTGGAATTAATACACTACATAATTTGCCGTCAGATGGAGGGTCCCAAAGGCCCTTTAATAATGATACTTCTATAATTAATAATTATAACAACTGTTTTAAGGAATATTTGGTAGATGCCTCAGGATCTTTTATTAAATGAACATTTAATCACTTTATATGCTCAATGCTTAAATTCTCAAGCATTTTTAGTAAAGTTTTATAATAATTTAATTCAGTAATTTATTTTTGCTTGCAGAGTTTCTGATGTTAGTCAGGGTTGGTGGGTGGTTTTGAAAGAAAAACTGGCTTTTAAATTTTTGTTTAGTGTTGAATGAATGTGTTGAATTAGAACTTATCCTCTACCATCAAGAAGTCCATGGCTCTAAAATAGACAAAAAGCTCATGTAGCTCTATGTCCCCGCCACCAACAAGAAAAAAAAAATTTTTTTAATGGGCAGATCTGAATAGACATTTCTCCAAAGAAGACACACAGATGGCCAAAGAGCACGTGAAAAAATGCTTCACTTTCAGTACTTATCAGAGAAATACAAATGAAAACTCCAACAGGATACCCCCCCGACACCTGTCAGAAGGGCCATCATCAAAAATCTCCAAAGAAAAGGTCCTGGAGACAGCATGGAGAAAGGGGGTCCCTCCTACACTACTGGGGGGGGGATGCAGGTTGGTAGAGCCACTTGGAGAACGGGATGGAGGGTGGCTACAGAACCAGAAAGAGAGCTGCCGTGTGCTCCGGCAGGCCGCTGCCGGACACAGGTCCTCAGGAAACCTGAGTCTGAAACGAACTTAGCGGTGCAGAGTTCATTGCACCACTGTTTACAGAGAGCGAAATACTGGAGCAACCGAATGTCCATCAACAGATGAATGGATAAAGGAGATGCGGTACTTGTATGCGATGGGATACTACTCAGCCATAAAATAGCAAAATAATGCTGTGAGCAGCGACGTGGATGAACCTGGAGATATCATCCTGAGTGAAGTCACAGAGACAGAAACAGGGAACCCCTCACATGTGCAATCTACTGATACAAATGAACTGATTTACAAAACAGAAACAGATACCGGAAACAAAGGCAGGCTTACTAACAGGGAGACAGGGCAGGGGTAAGTCAGGAGCTTGGGATGGACGCACGCCCCCGGCTCTGTGTGAGACAGGCACGCCAACCAGGACCTGCTGTGCAGCGCAGGGAACTCCACGCAGTGTTCCGTGACAACCGCTATGAGAAAAGTCTAAAAAAGAATGAGTCTGAGCACATGCGCCGCTGAGCCGTGCTGCTATATACCTGAAAGTAACACAGCATCGTAAGTCACCATACTGTAGTAAAAGAGAAAGCCGTCCACGGGATCGTCTGGAACCGGTTACTGCCAGCATCAGGGCTCCCCCGGTGGCTCAGCTGCTAAAGAACCTGCCTGCCAGTGCAGATGCAAGAGATGCAAGAGACTCGGGTTCAATCCCTGGGTCAGAAGATCCCCGGAGAAGGAAGTGACAACCCACTCCAGTATTCTTGCCTGGAGAATCCACGTGGACAGAGGAGCCCGGCGGGCTACAGCCCATGGGGTCAGAAGGAGTCGGACACGACTGAGCACATGCGCGCACACACAGCCAGTGTGGGAGCTGGATGCTGGGAACGCGCTTGCGTTCAGGGGTAGGAGCACGGCTGTGTGGGTCGTGAAGGGCGGGAGGGAAGTGCTGCAAGCCAGATAGCACAGCAGGACACGTGCAGGTCTGTCCTGACGGGCGTGTGCACAGGATGCAGTAACTCGTTTATAATTTCTCTCTTTAGCCAGTATGTCACAATATAGCTGAGTTAAAGAGGAAGAATAGAGCGGAAGGATTTTAGGAGACTAGACATCACTGTGGGACCAGGCTGTTGGAGGAGAACCGTTGCATCTTGGGTCCTGTTGTAGGTGGAGTTCCAGTTGACTACAGATCTTGGAGTTATCCTGATTTCAGTATTCAGTTGGCCTCGGTTCTTACTTTCTCTTGATTTTGGTTCAAACTATGCTGAGCACATTGAAGGGAGTCACCAGGCTTTTCACCGTAAACGGTGTGCATTGGATTTTCTCTGGAGTGTTCTGTCTAGCTCTGGGCACCACACTTAAAGTTGAAGGGCTTCCGTGGTGGCTCAGGCTGTTAAGAATCCACCTGCCAGTGCAGCAGACGCAGGTTTGATCCGTGGGTTGGGAGGATCGCCTAGAGGAGGGCATGGCGACCCACTCCAGTGTTCTTGCCTGGATAAACCCCCTGGGCGGAGGAGCCTGGCGGGCTGCAGTCCGTGGGGAGTGTAGATCTGGGTCCCACTCTTAAAGATGGGTGCTGATGTGGGGGCCTGGTGTGCTGCAGGCTGGCATGGTGCTGATGGTGTTCAGACCATTTGGAGGGGTTCTTGCTGGCTGAAGAGGACCCTGGGCATGACGGTGGGCGCAGAAGCAGTTTTCCGGTCGCTGGAGAACCAGACTTCCTTGGGTTTTTCCAGAGAGCAGACTGTCAATCACAGAATTTTACTGGAATGTAGATTTCGTTCATCGTAGGGGCTGCCTTTCATCGGCGCTTCCCAGCCGTTGAGTGAACTGAGTAAGCGAGAAGTCGCCACAGGGGGTGACGCAGGGACGCTTTGGTCCACACCCCTCTCCCCCACCACACCCCACCACACAGCTCTCTCCTCTGACCAGGACGAAGCAGCCAGGCTTTTCACCGTAAACGGTGTGCAGTGTCTTCCAGTGACTTGTCACCGAGTGTGGAGTCGGAGCTGAGTGAGCCTTCCAAAGAGCTGGGTTGGAATTAGAGAGGGGGCCCAGCTCCCACCCGGAAGAAGGGAGTGGAGATGGCATTGAAGGTGTTTTCAGACCCTCCTTCCTGGCGGCGGGGCCTGGGATCACTTCTTCAGTGACCGCTGGGCCAGACGCCGCCCTGGAGCTTCATGGGTTCCTGTCTTATTCAATCCGGTTGGCGCCGGCGTTTCCTAAGAATCCATTTGCTTTTTGTTCAGTCCGCTTATGAATTAGGTGCTGGGTGTCAGGCGCTGTTCTAGATGCTGACTTGTGGGAGCGTCTGAGCAGGCAGCGTGCAGGAGGCCCGCGTGTCCGGAAGGGCTGTGTCTCTGCCCCCGAGTCCCGGGCCGGCAGGTGGCTTCCATCTTCCTGTGGCCTGGGCACTGGGTACCACGTTTCTAGCCCGAGGAAGGCTTTCCCTGGTGGCCTGGGGGTCAGAAATCCACCTGCCAGTGGAGCGCGGGGGGGGCACGGGTTCAACCCCCGCTCCGGGGCGGGGGGCACGGGGGGACTGTACATGCCGCGGAGCAACTGCTGAAGCCCGAGCGCCCCGAGCCTGTGCTCCGCAGCGCACGCCACCGCGCTGAGAAGCGCGCGCGCCTCTCCTGGAGAGTGGCGTCCGCAACTAGAGAAAAGCCCGCAAGGAAAGCAAAGGCAGCCGCTCTGGGCGTCTCCGTGGGCGGACCCCTGTCTCTGCCCCCTGCCCGGCTGCCCCGTGGCCACAGCCCTGCCGCCTGCGAGGCGAGCCCCGCGGGCACTGCAGACGCTGCAGCCGTCGGGCGGGAGGAGAGACGTGACGCCTCCATCGTCCTCGGGCGCAGACTCTGTCCGGTGCCAAGAATACGAGAATGTGTATCTTTTTTTTTTTTTTCAGGATTATTCATTGAGAGAATGCCTAATGACAAACATCACTTACACATTTAGTAGCAGCAGGAATGCTAAGTTAATTTGTGTTTTATTAGCCCACACATGGGGCCCACGTGACGCCGTCGGCTGCAGGCAGGCCGGGCGCGCAGGGTCCCCTTGCGGGCTGCCCTCCCACCGCCAGTGCCCGCTGCAGGCCTGGGGGCAGGGGGAGGTGCTTTAGCAGTCTGGCTCTTGGTGTGGACCCCTTTTCTAAAACTTTGGTTTTTCCCTCTGTCTCAGCTCATGATGGAAAACACGCTCAGGCTGTTCCAGTCGAGGAAAGCTGGTCCCTTATTTACATTGAGTCAGGCTCTCAGGAGGGTTTCCCAGGGGGTAAAAAAAAACCTGCCTGCCATTGCAGGAGACGCAGGTTCAATCCCTGGGTTGGGAACATCCCCTGGAGAAGGAAATGGCAACCCACTCCAGTATGCTTGCCTGGGAAACCCCATGACGGAGGAGCCAGGCGGGCCGCAGGCCATGGGGTCTCAGAGAGTCGGACACGGCTGAGCACAGCCTGTTAGGAGAGGCGCTCCAGGCAGTGGTCCTGCGTCACAGGTCTCAGCCTCCGGGCAGCTAGTTGGGGAGCCCCAAATCCCCAAGTGAAGCAGGTCTCTGAGCGCCGGCCCTGTTCTCAGGGCTGCAGCGTGTGGGCACCTGGCAGCCTGGCCCCGCGACCCATTGGGTGTCCCTGGTGGCAGGTGTCACGGACGACAGTCTTCCCCCTCGGTTAGAGGCAGAGGCAGGTCCCTCTGTGTCCTGTGGGAGCAGGGCTCTGAACGCCAGTTACTTCTCAGCTGTGTCCGGCCCGTGACACCCGGCTCACCGCCGAGCACCCGGGATGGCGTCACTGCCTCACCGCCCAGCCCTGCAGTGCCAACGCCTCTCCTCTGAGCCCTGTGCCCTGCTGGGGCGTCTCCCCTCCACACACACCTCCCTGCTTCCCGTCTGAAACTGGTGAGGGGTGACGACACCCCACTAGGACGTCCTGGTCACGCCCCCCTCACGAGGAAGGAGGGTGATGTGTGAGGTCTGGGTGGGTGGATGGGGGACGTTTCAAAGCAGACGGTGGGCTGGGGGAGGAAGACTAAAGATGGGGGAGGTAACGGGGGAGACCGCTTTGCAGCTCTTTCTGCCTGGTGTGTAAATGCTCCTTAAACTCTGCTTTTTCAGAAAAAAAGTCTTTTCCTGCTGGGCATTTCCTCTGAAATTT